ATCCAAGCGTACGTTTGATGATTTCCCACGAGATGTGTTGAACCGATACAATTCAGAGGGGAACTTCTATTACGACCTGAAAGACAAACACGTGAAATCGGCTGTTTACGAAAACGAGGATTATTTGCCACGCTTGTACAAGTTCAAAGATGATATCGATACTGTTTTCCTATCGGCAGAAGATGTGAATGCGCTCTCAGAATTGAAGGTGTTGAGCATGAACATCAGTGCAGAAAAGTTACCTGGAGATTTCATCGATTGGTTGATTCGCTTGACTTATCGAAAAGAAATGCGTAAAATTAGAGATGGTGTCAACGTAAGAATTTATGGCGTTGAACCAAATGAGCTTGAAGCAGTACAGGATGATGTTCGATCATTTGGATTGGAACCTGAATTGGTAGAAGAAGAATTAGAAAACAACAATAAATAGAAGAATGGCGGAAGTAGAAACGGATGTGTTAGAGGAATTGTTGACGTCTGAAAAGATAGTTACGAGTAAAAATTTGATCGTTTTTAACGATGATGTAAATACTTTTGATCACGTAATTGATTCCTTGATTAAGGTATGTCGACACAACCCAATTCAGGCTGAACAATGCACGTATATTGTTCACTATAAGGGTAAATGCGATGTAAAGAGTGGAGATTGGGAAACGCTGGAACCGATGTGTACGGCATTATTGGATCGAGGCATCACTGCAGAAATTCAATAAATATTTTGAGAATCGCTTGCTGATTCAAAAAAAGCCTTTATCTTTGCACTCGCAATTGGCCTCGTAGCTCAACTGAATAGAGCACTTGATTACGGCTCAAGAGGTTTCAGGTTTGAATCCTGACGAGGTCACTAAGAAATAAAGTCCTGATGTTTTCATCAGGACTTTTTTCGTTTCAGAAAACGGTGAAAGTGTACTTTCAAAAGTTGTGTGAAACAAAACAGTTTGTCAAAATGACAAGGACTTTCTTTCGGAATTCGGATAAGAAGGATCTGAAATCCTGACGAGGTCACAAAGAGCACTATTTGTTTTGTCACCTTCTTTGATCTGAAATTCTTCCAGAGGGAACCGAAAAGAATCTATGCATTGACCGAAGGGAAGCAGATCTCTTACGAGATCACCAAGAAAGAATCACTTGCTTCTCGAATTCTCTTTAAATTTCACTTTGGTGGAGCAATAGTGTGAAGGATAAAAACTAGTCTAATGAATCAAAACTTGTTAATTGCTCAAATGGTAAAATTAAAATTTCGGTTTTATCAAGAGTGTCCTGATATTCAACAAATAGATACTTATCGTTGAAGTATAGAATTATTGTTGCTTAGATACATTTTATCGATTTCAGC